AGGGAGGTATAAGAACAGGTGAAAGTAACAGGAATGGACACTGTTACTATAGTGGACACTAGTGACTGGCCTAATAAACCTATCATGTAACTCGGGTTTTCAGACATTGCCTATGTGTGGTTCATTAAGTTTCCTTGTTTTATGTGTTGACTCTTTTTGGCCAGTTCACTATTTATAAGCACCCGCATCTTAAGGTAGAACCCAGAAATCACAGCTGATAAAAAATAATCATCACTAGCAGTGCTTCTGGAGGAAAAAAATTAAATATGTGAAGTTTTTAAGTTATAGACTATTAATTTCTGTGCTTGTGCTCCTACTCATTTAAAGTATGAGCTGCCAGGGTATGACTTACACCGGAAGGTATGTGTCACTGCCTACATTGGGGCCCCCTACCAGGACCCTTCTCACCTGCCTCCAGGTTCTCCTAAATTTCCTCAGCCAACCTGTCACTGAAACATGAAACTCTATAATTTCAGTTAAGTTGGAATATTGTCCCTTACTTAACTACAGGTGCTCTTGGAAAGGGCAGTATGTTAAGCCTTTATCAGTCACTAAGACTTTTGTGGTAACGTGTTTGGTTTGTGTTACCAGTAGGATAGCTTGCCAAGATTAGATTTTTATATCCCCAGGGAGAAAGTAGAGTAAGAAATCCACATCAGTTGTAGGGATTGGGTGGGCCAGTTCACAATACCTACAGCTAACGAAGAGGGCCCCCTGAGAGGAAGAGAACATGAGTAGGAAGAAAACTCAAGGGAGAGATGGGAGAGGGCAATAGCAAATGTTAACTTCACGATTTTGTTCAAATTCAGCCCTATCTTGGAAAACCCTCTCCGTGGTCAGTTTAGCGAGCAGTTACTGCATATGATTTGCTCTGACAGATTGGTGGGAATGTGTGCCTTTCTGATTTACAATTACTGTGTTTCAAATTTTCTATGACACAGCTTTTACATGTAGTGATGACATGCCTTGTAATCATCCTCATTGTGGCAACAGACATGCTCAGACTGTGTTAAATCATTTCAGCAGTGTCTGGATCTATAGATGATGGGTGTCAAAAGCCTCTTTAGTTAAGATTCCCCACTTAACAGGGTAAGATTCATTATGACTTCCTTTTCTGTGTTTTGATAACACAGGTGAGATACTAAGAGGCATGTGGGATGCTATAGTTCCTAGTTGGTTTTCCTTTTTCCTGTTGTGTGCAAGTTTTTATTTGGCTAGACTGGTTACCTAGGAAACAGCTGCAGGGTACAGATGGATTGGCTCTTTGGAAAATGGAATTTCAGGCCCCTTCAGGAGGCAAAAGACCTGTTGGATGAAACAAAAATTAGTGAATGGCTGAATTTATGCTTAATTTAGTGTGCTTCAACAAATCAAACTGAGACAGTTCTATAGGAGAACCTAGTTAATGCAGCATGATTTTTAAATTTAGCTTGTTTTTAATTTATTTAAGTTCACCAAATGTTTATTAATTCCTGCTTTGTGCCCACTGCTGCAGGCCATTCTAAGGGTTTCCAATGAAGCAGAAGGTTCAGTTCCCTCCTGAAAAGCTCATTTTCTGTTTGGGGTTAAAAGAAGTTACCTTAAAATCAAGTGCACGATTATGTGATACAGTCTAAATGTGTTCAGAGAATTTGGAGGATGTAAAAGATCTTGGCTAGTCAATGTGAGTGACGAATTTGAATCTACAGGCAGGAGATAATTCTTTGAGGTAAAAGATGAAATTTAAAGACCTGGTGAAAGTTTGGGTACTAACAGTTACCTGAATTTACAAGATTCAATGGTAGCAGCACAGTTACCCTTGCAGATCCCTACACCCAGACAGCTTATCGAAAATATGTAACTGTGATATAAATTATATTGCCGTAGAATCTTAAGAAAATGAATTTTAGTGACAATGTTGACCAACCACTGTTTGCACTAGCCTTTGCATAATTTAAGAAAACTCTATTTTCACTGAAAGTGTGACAGTATTAGTTTTGTAATCTCAGACCACTACAAAAATGTGAGCACATAAGAGACACTCAATAAAATATTTATGAATTGATTTGCTTATATACAGTACACCTTCTTGTTAGTTAGCATTAGCTTTCTTTTCTTCCAGAATATAGCTGTTGAATATTTGGTCTTGATTTGTGGTGATAAGGACTGTCGTAAATACAGACGTATAACTCTTCTTTTACAGCGGAACATCTGTCAGGTTATTTCTGTTGATTTGTAAAAAGTATAGGTATAATTTCCATGTTCTTACTTGTTCTCTTTGTATTCACTTGGTGTGGTGTGCCAGCCAGGAGTGGAGGAAAATGCAATCCTACTCAGAAAGCTTAACAACCTATAGGCACAGGAAGTTAAATTTGAGCCCTCCTTGCCATGTCCATAAATGGAAAGTAAATGAGGCAACATAAGGATACTCAAAATATTTTGAAGGAGAAATGTTTTAGTTATGGTTTATTGAACCTACAACTTCAAATATTTGCCAGCAAAAAATAATTCTCAAATGTAAATCTCAGGACTTCCCTGGTGGTGCAGTAGTTAAGAATCCGCCTGCCAGTGCAGGGGACACGGGTTCGAGCCCTGGTCCTGGAAGATCCCACATGCCACGGAGCAACTAAGCCCGTGCGCCACAACTACTGAGCCTGTGCTCTAGAGCCCGAGAGCCACAACTACTGAGCCTGTGCTCTAGAGCCCACGCGCCTCGAGCCCGTGCTCCACAACAAGAGAAGCCACCGCAATGAGAAGCCCGCGCACCGCAACAAAGAGTAGCCCCGGCTCTCCGCAACTAGAGAAAGCCTGCGTGCAGCAACGAAGACCCAACGCAGCCAAAAATAAATAAATAAATTTATTTAAAAAAAAAAAAGTAAATCTCAGTCCACTAGCTATTTATAGTTACCAATGAAAGTTTCTTTGTATTTTAAATTTGTGAAGAGAATTGTTACTATAATCAGAATCCATAATACTGAATTTTGCCAGAGGGTCTTTCATTGCCTGTTGTCTATTCACACTGTACTGATAGCTTTTATAAATGAGATAGTGACTACAGAGGGTAATTTGTTAGATTTTTGCTGAGTGATCAGGAGTGGTTTCCTGTTAGAAGAGCTTGAGCACTGCTGTGAATGCCTTCTTTATTTCCAAAATTACCATAAAATGCCTTATCATAATAAGACACGCCCTCCCCCTCAAGTTTTCTTTTCAAGGAAACTTTTTAATGTTTCATTTTAAGAACAATTATGCAACTCCCTGGTACCTACTCACCCCTATTGTCGTCCCTTTTCTGGTTTCAAGCAATTACCATGATACTAAAAATGTTAGTGACTGTCAAAAACTTTGAACTGATTTACTTCTCTGGCCTGTGGAATCACTCCACTCCAAACAGCAGCTCGGAGGAGGGGCAGGGTGGCATTACCTACTGTGACAGTTTGCTCACTTTCTATCCCTCTCCCGCCCCCCATCTGCCTCCATCTTGCTGGCGATGATCCTGTAATTTATAATGCTGTTTGCACCTATGCGGAGATCACAAGAAGGGCCTAATTATTAGATGATTTGAGAGAAAAAGGTACAACTTGTTTGCGTTATCGTCTTCCACTCTTTTGAAAAGTTATAGTCAGAGTTAGCATTAGAGGAAGAAAGACCACAACTCAATTCTGAGAGCAGAATTGATTTTTCTCTTCATTTTCTTTGAATACATTGCTTATTTCTACAAATGTACGAATGGCAAAGGCATGTTGCAGGAAAACCCCCTCCCTCCAACAGCCCCACCTACCCACATATACATCTGTACTTAGAGGTTCAGCCCTGGTCTGTCTTCTCCCACCAAGAGCAGCTTCCCAAAATGCCTCTGGGAATTTTACTGTCCTCAAAAAAGGCACTTGTTCATGGCAGGTGCTATGATTTTGAGGTTAATGTCTTTTTGTTGTAGTTGTTGTTGTTCACAATGAGAAAATAAGACCAATAAAAGATGCAGAAGTCTTGTTTTCAGTGGCTCCAAAAATTTCTTTTCTTGTATTTTTGGCAGCTGTTTTCCCATTTGCAGTTGCCCTTAAAGGGGGAAGCAAGCAACTTTTACTCAAAAGTAACATTTTAATTGTTCTTCTTATTGGGGAAAAGGATAAAATAATAATTCTTTCATCTTCCTTATCTAGGTTTCTGTAAATTAATTCACCCCAAATTTGATAGAGAGGTTCCTTGGGTTTGACATGAGAACATGTTTGTTTAAAAATAGCACTTGGTGTTTTACAAAAACCACTTTCATTTATTTAAATGGAAGAGGGGGCAATTTAAAAATTAGCACCGATGCCTTTTTGCTTTTCTGCTGAAGCATACTAGTAATGATTTGTCACTGTGAGTACTTGTACATTGTACAAAAATTGTTGACTTACCAAATGGGGTGAAACTACTAGTTTTTCCAGCATTTTCTTGAATTTAGTTGGAAAAGTACTTATATTGTAATTTTCTTAGACCTTTTAAGTTTAATAAAATAATATTAGTTCCAGTATTTAATCCATTATTTAATTTTATTTATGTATTACACTTAGACATATTTCAGGTTTGCCTTCAAATTTTTAAAACGTGTGTTTCTCCTCAGCCAAAATAAAATCATATACATTTGAGTCTTGGATCTGGGAATAGAAAAGTTCCAATTCTTTTTGCTAGTATGGTAATCTCAGCAAGAGCAGGAACCTCATCTCTCTTGTTCACTGTTATTTTCCTGGAGCCTAGAACAGTGCCAGACACAAGTACCCAGAAAAGTATTTAATAAATGACTGAATGAATTGCCTTCTATGACTTGTGAGGTTTTTTTTTTTTTTTTTTTTAAGTTCACTTTGTACCTTAAACAAAGTATACTACATAGTGGACTACAGCAGGATGCTGAAGAATAGGACTCAGTGGAATTCAGTGCTTGAATGACCCACTCAGAGAGAAAAGGACTAAAGGGGTTTTGGTAGGGACAATTCCCTGGGTGTGCCAAACCCACTAAAATACTCCCACGTTTTGCATCTCTCCAGGAGCACTCACTGTGGGCCTTGTGCGACAGTGTCAAACAATCCATGGACGAGACCGGACATGCATCCCACCTCGGCTTCCCCCAGAGTGGGTCACCACACTGTTTTTTATCATCATGGGAATCATTTCATTGACTGTCACATGTGGTTTGCTGGTGGCTTCCCACTGGCGAAGAGAAGCCACAAAATATGCTCGATGGATAGCATTCACTGGAAGTAAGTAACCTGTGCTAACTAAATTTGTCTAGAAGGCACTCACCCTGGAATCAAGACTCAGTAATAAGGACTCTCTAATCATCAAAGGGCACCACTTGCATACGGCCATCAGATAGACTCTACGCGGTCCCATCAGCTCTTCAGAATTCTCACCATAAGACCAGGACATCCAAACCTTAATTGCATTGTATAACGTGCTATTTTAATGAATTTTATTTTCACTCACATTGTGACCTAAGTGTTCCAGGTCTGTGACTCAGAGCTACCACTAACCTGAGTCTTCCTCTTCTTAAAGGTATTGGTATCTTCTGTCAAATAAAGATAAATCTAGAAGAAAATATACAGAAATACAAATTAGTTTAAGGTGGTGATTTGCTTTTTAGTATCATTGATTTGAGTTTCTACCATAAGTTGTGGTGTGACCATTGAAAAATCAACACATTTGGTTATTTAATAATCGTTTCTCAGCATTTCTGATGCCATTTAAGCTATGCCCAAGGGTGTGATAATATTTAAATATTACACATTCTCTTGTACTTTGCAAACCTGGTTTAATTTCAGAGCACAACGCAGGCTTTTCCCAAGCTAAAAGCAACAAAAATTCTCAAAGGGAAGATTTCTGTAATTCTGCTTTCTTCTTTCTAAAGCAGGTTTGTCCCCCAGGGAACATTTGTCAAAGTCTGGAAACATTTTTGATTGTCCCAACTAAGGGGATGCTCCTGGCACGTAGTGAGTAGAGTCCAGGGATGCTGCTGAACAGTGTACAAATGCACAGAACAACCCTCCACAGCAAAGACTAATCTGGCCCCAAATGGCAATAGGGCCCTGTTGAGAAACCCTGCTCTAAAGAACAGGATAACTATCCCTATGCCAAATACTATCGGATTTAATTTCTAATTCAGTGTCTTATAATCATCTCAGGTTTTCTTAAGTTTTTAAATAATGAATGTTATAACACAGCTTTTACTTTTTCACCTGATATTGTCGTGTA